GCGCCTGTGGTCCCAGCTACTTGGGAGGCTGAGGCAGGAGACTCGCTTGAGCCCAGGAGTTGGAGATTGCTGTGAGCAGTGAATCCATGGCACTCTACCCAGGGGGACAGCTTGAGGCTCTGTCTCAAAAAAAAAAAGAAAAAAGAAATAACAAATATAGGATGGTGTCTTATTTTTGGGGAAACATGGTAGTGAGAATTCTAAAGATCTAAATTAATCTGTACTATATCCATGGAAATAAGTCTGATGTTTTCTATACCTGTTATTTAGCTATTATTTACCGAGTCCTATACTAAGCATATTATTCATTTAACAAATACATATCATGTGCCTACCATTGGAAATACCACATTAAACAAAAAATGTAAAATCTCTGTCCTCAGAAGCCTATGTTCTGGTGCAGAAAGGTGGACAATAAACAAAATAAATAATTATATCTTAGAGTAGAAGATGAGAAGCAAGAGACTGTAAGATGGCAATTTGAAATAGAAGAGGCAGGGATTGCCTAACTGAGCGAGGGTGATATTTAAACAAAAACTTGATGGAAGTGAGGAGAATAGATATCTGGAAGGAAAGAGAACAGATATCCAGGAAAGGGAATAATAAAGTCAAAGGCCTTGAGGCTGGCACTTGGCTCTCCATTGTTAAACAAGTGTGGTGGGAAAGTTGAATGGGGGTGGGAGGGAGTAAGAGGTAAAGGGAATACGCTGTGGGTGGGAGTGGGGATGGCATGGCAGGGGCATTAGGAAGCAGGTTACATGGTCTTCAGGCCACTGAAGTTTCTGGGCCCAAACTATGAATGAAAGGGAAGGCATTAGGGTTTTGAGCAGAGGACTAGCATGATCTGACTCATTTTTAAAGAATTTCTTTAGCTGCTCTGTAGTGAGTATTCTAAGGCAGAATGAGGGAGGCTAGTTAAGACATTTTTGCAATGACCCAGGTAAAAGATAACGGTGGTTTGGAGAAGGGGGGAGGTCATAAATAACAATAGATTCTGGCTATATTCTGAAGATAAGAACAACAAGATTTCCTAACAGATCGGATATATGTGTTCAAAGAGACAGTTAAGAGTAACTTTAAGGTTTTGGACCTGAGAAATTTGGATGAACTAGACATAAACTGGAGTGGGGAAGGATTCAATTTGGGAGGAAGTCTCAGATGATGTTTGATTAAACTTGAGATGGCCGTTAAATACAAGTAGCTGGAGCTCAGTGGAGAGAGGTGAGAACAGGAAACACAAATCTGGGAGTTACTGGCATATGCAGGTCACTTAAAGCCATGAGACTGAAGGGTTTCACCAAGAGAGTGAATGTGATAAGGCAGGGAAGTCCAAGCACTAAGCTTTAGCTCAATAAAATTTTAAGAAATTAGGAAAATGAGGAGGAATCAATAACAGGGATTAAGAAGGAGTGGCCATGGGCAGTACCTATGGTTCAAGGAGTAGGGCGCTGGCCCCATATATAGGGGGTGGCGGGGTCAAGCCTGGCCTGGCCAAAACCACACACAAAAAAAAAGAATGAGTGGCCAGTGAAGTAGATGAATAAGTCAAGGAGTGTAGTACTCTGGAAGGCAAGCGATGAGTGGCTCAAGGAGAAGGACCCATTGTTAAATGCTGACAGTGTGTCAGTGAGAGATTACATACATTATCTCGTGTTATTCTTACAACTGCCCAGGGAGGTAGCTGATATCCATATTTACGTATAAGGAAACTGATGCTCAGAGGGTTCAAGCAACCTCTCCAACAGATACATAGCAGAACTGAGATGAAACCAAACTCGATTGACTCTACCAGAATTAAACTTCACCCAATCTCTCACTTACTACAGATTTGGGGGGAAAGATTCGTTTGAAAAATTAGAAAGTATTCATAATAGGCAATTCTTTTAAATAAAAAAAGCAGTACTGTTACATGTAAGTATTCAAAGGGAAAACTATTACCAAGAAAGAATACTTTTAGACTGTGATCAAGAGGAAAATATTGCATAAATAACATGTCAGTAGTTCCCTGAGGAAATGTCAACTTTATAAGTTTAGTCCTTGCCTACATAATTTTCATGAATTACAAGTTAAGGTTTTTCTGCTTTTGTTTTTACATTTCGATACTTTCACTTTCCCCTAGAAGCAGAATTTATAAATATCTAGATACTGCTCATAAAAATTTGTGTCCAGAAAATTAGAATGAGAATTTTACTTTATAAATTTCCAGTAATATATCAATGCTGTTGGAATAAATTCTATAGCCAGAACAATCCATCATGAGAAGCATGCGATGTCTTGGTGGTTTATAATTCAGTAACTGAATCAAATTTGAATCAGAATCTAAATTTGGGGTATTTTTTTCAAACAGTCTTGCCAAATTCTTAGCTGTCAGATTATCTGTCGAATTTACATATGCAAATTCTTTTAAAGCACCAGATTTTTAGATTCTCAGCAAGTGTTTTATTTTCTCAATAGATCCAATTATTTGGCAACATTGTTGTTGAATACTGTGTTCCATTACAATGACTTTCATCAAAGAAAACATGTTTTTCATTATAAATCTGCACTTGACTTCCATGGCCAGGAGCACCTGGTCTCCTGGTGTTCTTGCTGCTGCCTTCCGTGCTCAGCTGGTAGGGAGACTTCCTCTCTGTCTTCTCCACTGCCTCCTCTTTTCCCAGAGAGGGTGTCTTAACTGTCTATTTTATAATATGGCCCTGTTAGGACAGACCTGTTGAATTCCATATAAGCAACACAAAGCTGTGAAATTTAACAACTGATAAATAATTCTAGCAGAATAAAAATAAGTGGACTGCCCTCAATTCCTTCTTCCTCATGCTGCCCTAACTGAAGCTGAAGCTAAAATATTAGAGAAGTACTTCCGTGAATTCACTTATTGCATATCTTTTTAAAATAAAGTTTTGCTACAGATGCATTTTCCCCAGTTAGTTTAAGAAGTTATTCAAAAATTCCTTGCTAAAATAAAATCTTAAGTGAAGAAAGGGAAACTTTGCCATGCCTAAAAATAAAGACCCTTCCCCCACCTCCCCATGAGATTATTTATTACATCTGTACAAAGTTTAGAATTTCAGACTTTGGGACATTGAGGTCATCCAGAGGTTACTTTTCTCCCAGTCAAATACAAACATAATAAAATTGCTCACTCGCTTCTCCCTGCCCCCCTTAAGGGAGTGCCAAAGCCACAGTTACATGTACTCATGTGTGACGCAAAATTCTATTTTTAAACTCAGACAGAATCTATCATTAGTCATTTACAGAAGGAAACCATTAACATCTAGAAGGATGGAGCCACAGAACTCCTTCATGTTGCCAATTGCTTATAAAACTAATTCTAAATACAGCCATGGCTGGAAATATATACATGTTTTTTGTCACCTAAAAAGATACGGTTTTTTAATTAGCTCATGCCAAGTTATGAGCCTATCAGTATTAGACCCTAAAAAGGAAGAAAATGGAAAACTACACTAACTTATTTTTCTGCTTAATCATTTCTGTTTAATCAACTGCTTATCCTTCTGCGTAATCATTTTTGGGATAAAATATTATTCTGAGAACTTTTTTTGCTTAGAAAGGTTAATATTCCAAATTGCTTAGGTGCTAAGAATTCATGTTAATGTTGTACATATTTATCAGACAAGAGGGCTTTCTGCATTAAAACGTATTTGCTCATGAAAGATTTAATCTAGAATAGAGACTTGGTAAATTTTTAACTTACATGCTTTCCGAAGGAAAACATTAAGACATCACTACCATTTTCAAAACTTTCAAGTGCCAGCGAATAATACTTCTTATATGTTAATTTCTAAAAGAATAGTTCTAGCACACGTTCTTACATATTACACAGAACGATGTATTCTAAGAGTGATGTTTGTGTAAAAAGAATAGCTTTGTTAATGTGTTTAGTAAAATTTTTTAATACAGCCAAGATTCAAAGTATATGGTATGGAAAAAGATACGTCGTGCAAATACTATTTTAATTCTTGACTGCTTCAATGATATTAGCCTGTAAAATAAATTTGAAACTACACTGTGGGGCACTCAATTTGCAGAGGCATCATTAATCTTTTTGCATTTCTTTTTACTTCTCTAGCTGGATTACATAACAGAGGGCAAGGGCCATGATTCATTCACTGTTGTATTCTCCTTTGTGCTTTAAATATAAGCTGCTCAATAAGATTTATGGAATAAATGAACAAACCCTTCATATGTGATTGTTTTCTGTATTTTTCACAGTGTATATTAATTCTTTGTGTGCTTTGTGACTTTATTTTTCCCAAAGGAACTTCGTACAGTGAAAAGTTTATAAAGGTTTATTATAACTAGAAGAACCCCAAATTTAAAACAAAACAAAAAACCGAGAATTAAAGAAAAGACGATTGCGTAACAATAAGGCCTGACAAATAACTTGCAGGTGCCTTTTGGCAAAGCTGCTAATGTAATCTTCCAACATCTTTATATTGTAACCAAAACCCCCAGCTTCTTTGTGTCCCTTTAAAATGTTTAATCTTTTCTGGCTTTCTCAGTTTTAAGTTCTTAATTTCATGTATTTCTGTTCATGTGTTTCAATGCTTACCGTTTCTTTTCTTTAAAAAATGCTATTAATCTCAGTGAGATTACTTCCCTGCAGAGCTGTGATTAATAACACAGCTGAAGAAATCTCTTGTTTGTACATTATTACAGCATCAGTTATGAAAGATCTTCATAACTTAAGTGAATTTGCAGATGGGGAAACACTCACTGCTAGTTAGGTTCTCGGACTCCTTCATACTTCTTGCTAAGCTATCTTTACATCTGTTTTGTACCTCTTTTTGAATTGAACCTGGATTTACGAAGAGAATAAATGAGATTTAATTATACACAATGTAAGAGAGCTTTCCGCAGAGCATTCTCCAAGTGTAATTTTTATAAAAAAAATGAACTTTTAAAAATTATCAATCCTCTTAATTTCCTTGTTACTATCTAATAAAATAGAATCATAGTTCAGCTAGCTTATATTTGGAAGAGAATACTTTTAAGATAAAAATCTTCAAAGAGAATACCTCCTGCACTACATAATTAGAAATATCTGCATAAAACCACTTAAAACTTCTGGATTAAGGAAAAATTCTGTATTAAGAAAAATTGTTTAGTGTCTTTGTGCTATCTTTTAAGTATTTCAATATTGTCTTCGCTTTAGTTTATCACTACACCCTTTACTCTTAGGTTGCCAAAAGGCTGCTGCTTTTAAAAGATAAGGAACAGGCGGTGCCCGTAGCTCAGTGGGTAGGGCGCCGCATACACCAGGGCTGGCGAGTTCAAACCCAGCCCAGGCCAGCTAAAACAACGACAACTGCAAAAACAACAACAAAAATATCCGGGTGTTGTAAGTGCCTATAGTCCGCTTCTTGGGAGGCTGAGGCAAGAGAATCGCTTGAGCCCAAGAGTTTGGGGTGGTGACTGTGACGCCACGGCACTCTAACCAAGGCACAGCTTAAGACTCTGTCTCAAATAAATAAATAAATAAATAAAAGGAACAAACATTGAGCTTTTCACTTTTCTCTTTCTTTTCAGAGTAATGTCATCTTGTTGTTAGATACCACTGGCCAGGCCCTTCGCCGTCTCATCCTTCCTTTAGAAGAGGTTGTATCTCAGAAACTTTCCTGGTGGAACAAGGAGGAATCTGTAAGGAATACCAGATTTGTCCAGTAAATTGCCAAGGATTTTCTCCAGCTCTCTAAGCAGAAAGATGCATGCCTGTCCGTCCCTTTCAGTGTCTTCAATTTACTATAATGCCCAAGATAATTCCCTTTTTACATACTTGTAGATATTGACATAATACAAATATATAGATACAGAAACAGGTATAATTAAGTATAAATAGCTTCTTTTTGTGTCCATCACACTCACATAAAGATTTGCCAGAACTGAACTAAGAATAATAGGGCATTAAGAACTATTGAACTGCAAAATTCATGAAATTGAATATTTCAAATCATGCCGTCAATTTGGGTTTTCCAGTTACATAGGTATATTTTGGATTTATATGACAAAGCTGTAAGTATGACTCCTGATTTATTTCCCCTATTAAGCTAATATAAAAGCACTTTAGACCAACTCAAGAGAATTTATTTCATCATTCAGAAAAAGGTAAAAGATATAAAATAAGGCTTACTCCTTCCCTGCAGGGCATATAGTATATACTTAGGTCTTATAAAACCATGAAGAAAAGAGATTTTTTAATATACCATAAATGTATTCAAATCTAAGAAACAAAGTATTTTCCTGTGTGTTTGTGTTACAATATAAATTCCATGGCTTATCACGAGATAGCATGTTTATTTCTAAACAGCATTTGGTATTATTTAAAAAAAATTATTCTGAAGAGGTCTTAGTACATAGTTCACAGTAAATTTCAAAATATTGTTTAAACCAGGTTACCATAGAAGTCTTGGATTAGAATAACAGCTTCTTTGAGAATCACATGCTTTACCCATTGAAGAATTTGGGGAAGCAGCTAACAAGAGAAATGACTACACCCAGCAAATTTAATGTGAATATTTTGTTTTGTTTTTGTCTTTAGGAAACGTACAAAATGTGTAAAGAATTTTCGCACAAAAACTGGCTAGTATTCTACAAAGAAAAAGGGTGAGCGCTCTTCATTTAGAAGATTTAAGCTAGGATCCTAAAATTTTGTCTATTCTTTTTCCTGTTTTAGTTATACTTGTTTATTATAAAACGAATGTAACCAAACTATAAATGTTTTTGTACAAAAGTGACTCTTCCCACATTACAGAATATTGAGAAATAGACACAAGAAAAGCTCGCGGCCCTCGCAGTTCCATGACACAGCCACTGCTGACACGGCAGCGGTCACGTCTCAATTCTGAACCCTGACATAGTTTAGAATTTTGTATATCTGTTTTTTTTCAATGAACAGTTTTATATTGTATTACTTCGTCTTTAAAAAAATTCTTTTTAGGGCTATATAATATATCAAGAAATGATTATGTCCTGCTCAACTATTATCCTCACTATTTCCTTCCTGATAGCGTTTTCTTCTTCTCTTTTAGGAGTAGCCTGACTGTGCTGGATGTTCTAGAAGGGAGAACTCATACCATCTCGCTCCCCATTAAACTCAAGGCAGTTTTTCTTGTAGCAGAGGACAAATGGCTTCTGGTGGAGAACACAACGAATCAGTGGGTAGCTCTCTGCAGCATCTCCGAGTGTGCTCAGCCTGATCTGTCCTCATCCGACCTTCATACTCTTCTGTCCTCCTTGGGCCTAGCTTTAAACAATTTCAATATTTGGCAACATTTCTGTAGGTCGGAGTTAGGAGAAGGGAAGGGGGTGGAGAGAATTAAAATAGATTGTCACTTCTCAGAGTAGACCTTGAAATTAATGGTAAAAAATGAATTTCACATCTTTTTATATTTATGGGGGCTTTTTCTTATTAACACGTTAAGGATTCACTGTATTCTTGCCAAACTAGAGATACTTCAAAGTAGGTTTTCGGTTTATCCTTTTTAGAGAGCCACAGTCTTCTTCCTGAAGCTCACTTTTTTATAACTCCACAGAACTCATACCTGAGAAGTTTCTTTCTGTTTTTATCTTGCACATTCTTATTTGTTTGCGATTATGGTTATGTTTGTGTGGCCTCACCCTGTTGGACCACACCCTTCTTGATGAAAGGCAGTGTGTGGTGCTAGACATATGTAGAGGGCACAGTAAACTCTGGGTCCCCCACCCTCGGGCACAGCATCCACTAGCTAAGTGCAGGTTCCGCGTGCCCTTCTGCTGAGAAGCGGCAGAATTTCTGACTATATGTCTGTATTTTAGAGATTATAAAGTTAAGTAGGTCAAGGAGACTTCAGTGGAGAGGACTCCTTGATAATAAGAGTGTGCCCCATTAGAATTGCTTTTTTTTTTTTTTTTTATAGTCCTTCCTTTTATAGAAAGTATTTGCTTTTTGGTTCACATTTATTACTGCGTTGCTATTGTGTACTGCTCTTTAACACGATGTTGAGAAGTTATTTGTTAATCCACGATGAAGCCATGAAACTGCAAATTAGATTATAAAAAGAAACTGAGGGGGTATCTAATTTTTCTCATTCTGCCCTTACCATTGCTGGAAAGAGAAAAACTTTTCACTTAAGTTAGCCGTTTTGTCTGTTTACAGGAAATACCTTTTAACGAAGCCTGCACACATGGAACCTGAGGGCAGTGGGGTTTGCCAATTGTATTTGTTGAAAGAGGAGCCGCCCAGCACAGGGTTTGGGGTTACGCAAGGTAAATACTATGTTCTCTGTGTTTATGGCTGTGTGGGGACTTGCCAGTACACATACTGTACTCTAGAATCATTTAAGAATAGCATTTCCCTATATCAAGTTTACACTAAAAGAAAAAACTTCGTCACTACACTAGAAAAAGTAAATAAGAATCAACCCTCTTTCAAGTTATCACAAGGCTCACTCAGTTATCAAAAGCTCACTCTTTTGATGCTTGCTCTCGATTTTTTTAACTAACAAATCAAATATTTTATTTGTTTTGGGTTTCAAGTGTAATTTACGATAGCGTCTTTTCTTTTTTCCATAGACCATCAGGATTTCTTCTTGATTCATCACATATTGGGGGATTGAATAATTCCTATGAAAAAAATCTAAAACACACTATTGCCAATACTGGGTTGTATCAATTTTATATATATATATTTTTTTTTTCTTTTTTTTTTGAGACAGAGCCTCAAGCTATCCCCCTGGGTAGAGTGCTAAGGCATCACAGCTCACAGCAACCTCCAACTCCTGGGCTCAAGTGAGTCTCCTGCCTCTGCCT